ACTTTCACTATCCATAAACAACCCCAAACTACCGTCCGGTCTAATATCCCCTGGGGCGCGTATCCCGCGATCCCAATATCAATCTCGACATACAGGAGGTCCCAAATTTAAACACCGATCAATTTTAGATTGAAGAAAAAAATTAATGTAATTAAAAGACAGTTTAGAATCACATTATTGTTTTCGCATGTTTGCTGAGCTAGGAATAAAAGCAGATAGAAATTGGACGCCATTTTGAACTACTTGTACCACGTGACTTGCGAATTGACATTATTCTCTTTATGATTGAAATTGATATAAAACTTTCAGTAAATTATAGCATTGGACGCCATTTTGAACTACTTGTACTACGTGACTTGCGAATTAACATTCTTCTCTTTATGATTGAAATTTAATATAAAAGTTTCAGTAAATTATAGCATTTGATTGACCACACTATGTCATGTCAAAATTATTACTGAAGACCAATAATAAATAGCACACGACAAATACACAAACTGTCAATCCATCAGTTAATTGTTTGCATTTGTGATGTGTTTTGCATAATTAACAGACTGCTCAGGTCTAGCAGGATCTGATTTAAAGCGTTTTCCTAATAATCCCAAGTTTTTAGGGATACTTGAAGTTCTTGAAGTTTTATTATTTATAAGCGGTATTATATTATCGAAGTTTTTTGAATTGATTTAAATGTAGTTGTAAAATAAATTGTATAGTAAAAGATTGTGAAATTATTAATGGCCGGTTTCTGAAACAGTAGATTACTCCAGTAGACTTATCGAATCGATAACCAGTAAAAAGTTGTTTCTAAGTGGTACTAGAATTATCGGGTATATAAGAAAATGAAAAAATATCTTGCCAAAAGTGTTTGGATATCCATTTAAATATATATCTGACGCATGTACAGTAATATAGGTTAATAATATGTAATTGTTTGTCAAAAAAACGACTTAGGTTTCTATGCTGAAGCCCACTCTGTGATACTAGTTCAAAATGGCAGCTTCCTTGCAAGGTATATTATAGAAGTATGTGATTAGAATGCACTAATATAAAAACATAGTTGGAAATTAAATTCTGGAACCTGGACATCTCCAGAACACTGATTGTTTATGTAAGTATAAATATGAAAATATCTAGTATAAAATTTTTAATTTCAATTTTTTTTTTTTTAATTTCACAAGACTTTCAAAAAGGAGTAGTTTGTTTTATAAAAATTTACACAAAATAAATTCCAAATTCTATATAAAAAGTTACGATAGCCTATTTGTGCCATACAAAAAATATTTAAAAATAGTAAAAATTTTGAAAGTTAAAATTTGTAAAACATAGTCTAGTTTTTGAGAAAATAAAGTAAACAGTTTGTGAAAATAAAGTTTAAATTTTAAGAAAAAGTAAGACAAAATTTTGAGAAAAGTATTACTAAATTTTGAGAAAATAAAGTCTAAATTTTGAGAAAGTAAAGTGTGAATTTTGAGAAAATAAAGTCTAAATTTAAGAAAACAAAGTCAATATTTAAAAAAATGATATTTTTACAAAAAAAGACTAAATTTTGAAAAAGTAAGACTAAATTTTGAGAGAAGTAACCACTAAATTTTGAGAAAATAAATTCAAAATTTTGAGCAAATAAAATATAAAAATTTTGAGAAAAAATAAACCTTGTGAGTGTTTTGTAGTCATTTGTCACAATTAAATGAATGACGACAATTAAAACTTTCCTCCATGACTCAAATGTACTTCTGCTAGAAGATCATTTGAAAGAATTTTTAACAATGTGACGCATACCATGCCAAAACATTGATCAGATGGTTTTCTAAAAATTTGCAGAAAATCTAAATTCTATATAAAAACTTACGACGGTGTGTTCATGCCTCATAAATGAAAATATTTAAAAAAAAGTCCAAATTTTGAGAAAATAAAGTTTAAAGTCTAAAATTTAAAAAAAGATAAAATTTTGACAAAAATGACAAATTTTGAGAAAAGTAAGACAAAATTTTGAGAATATGGTCTAAATTTAAGAAAATAAGTCAAAATTTAAATAGAAAAAAAGAAAATTTTTAGAAAATAAAGTTTAAAGAAAATAAAGTCTACATTTTGAGAAAATGAAATGTCACAATTATGAGAAAGAAGTCAAAAAACATAAAGAAGGATCTGTCCTGTCAACTAGGTGTGTGTTTTGTGGTCATCTGTCATATTTAAAGAAATGACGACAATTCAAAATTTTCTCCATGATTCAAACGAAATTCTGTCAGAAAATGGAGGACCGTTTAAAACAATTTTTAGAAATACGAGGCATATAATACCAAAACATTGATCTGAGAAACGAAAAGGTAATAAATAATTTATATTATTTGCTTTATAACAAAATACTCAGAACTTTTAGGTATTTGCATGAATATAACTTTAAGATTTTTTGTATGAGTATAATTTGTTTTTATTTTCCTCAATAAGTAATGCAAACAAAATTGTTTCATATTTCAATGGATACAATAGGATTACTAAATCCTGAAACCCTCGAAAAGTGTTTATCAGAAATTGGCGATCGTCTAGCTGTCATTGCAAAGATGATAGGATAGGTCATTTTTATATTCTGTTTTTTTATTTTTCTCTCTAAATTTTGAGTCTTTTCTCAAAATTTTACCTTTTTTTTTGAAAATTGTGACTTTGGTTTTTTCGAAATTCTGACTATTTTTTTAAAATTTTGATTTTTGTTTCCAAAAACATTGACTTTTAATCTCTAAATTGACTTTTGTTCTTAATATTTTTCTTCTTAAAAATTGTTGACTTAAATATTTGTCTTTTTTTAATTTTATATATTTTTTAAAATTTTGACATTATTTTTCAAAATTTTGACTTTTTAAATAATGTTGAATTTTATTTTCTCGAAATATTGACTTCATTTTCTCAAAATTTTGACTTGAGGAAATAAATTCCCATTCTCAAATGTGACCAAATTTAAAATGAATATTAAAGGAAAATAAAAAATATCAAAGTTCGTGGCACAACAGAGTCGAGCAATCGTTTCACTTTTGTAAACAACTACTCCGTTTGCTAATACCGCAACAGGCATTGCTTTATATTAAAAGGAAAAGGTCAAAGATAAAAAATCGTCTCTAGCTATTATTTTACTTCCTAAGCAGAAAGTCACACTTGTACCTGTTTCGTCTTTATTAGGACTCATCAGCAAGCATTAAACAACATTGACTTAAGTTTCTAATGATTTCCGTATGTATTAAAGTTGATTGAAAAGGAGTTAGAGCAAACGAGTAAAAAATGGTAATGCCATCTGCGTTTAAGAAGCAAAATCAAAGCTAGCTACTTTTTAAATAATGGAATGCCTGTTGCGATATTAGCCAAGGGAGTAGTACTAAATATATAGGCATTAAAAGAATTGTATACCAAACTTTTTAAAAAAATCCCGTTCCAACAGTGAAAACAAGGTTTTTAAATTACTTATTGACTGTTGTCCTTTAACAGTATTATATAAAAGTGTAACTTCTGGAGCATGAAGTACTGCAAGGATCAGTTCTTGGACCACTACTATTTATAATTAATATAAACTATCGTTCCAACCATATTAATTATATAAAATCAATTACGTTTGCTGATCCAATTTGATTCATCACAGACAGCAATGCTATTAATAAATGATTAAATGAGTGATAATTCGGTAAACTTACTTAGAATTTCAGTTATTAAATCTTTAAAGTTATCTCTACGAGTTTCAATACTTTAAAAACTCTTTAGAGACAATTCTAAAAAGACTGAAGCAGCTTGTACTGCCTATTTTTCAATATTTCATAGTCACCTTAGTTACCTTATATGTATAGAAAATAGAGACTTACATAAAGTTAATTTTTAAGTTTCTCAGTCTAAACTTAAGGTTAAACTGTACTAAAAACGTAAGCTTTACAACTATCCCTAAGAACTGGATTTGGGAACAACATATCAACTATTGGGGAAGCACCCCAAAATAGGCACATGCAAAAGCCTTCATAGGCAGTACATGTCCCAAAAGAACTGGAAAACTACTCTTTATGAATAGGAACTAGTTGAAAGTGATAACAGGGTTCATGACTGGGCACGCCCCAGTAAAGGGACACTTAAACAAACTTGGCATGTACAATGGGGAACTCACGTGCCGACTATGTCACAAGAAACCAGAAACGGTCAATCACATACTGTGCGAATGCGAAGCTCTAGATCGCAAAAGACAGGCTCTTTTTGGACAACCCCAGGTTGATCCAACAACGTATAGAACTCACTCACCCAAGGATCTGTACAAACTTGTACAAGGTGACATAGTGAATGCTATGAACTAACATGGGGTAAAACACAATAAGTCATTAGGCTTCAGTGTTATGCATAGACATAATCAGACGAGCCCAGGGAAAAAATCCCTAAGAAGTTTAATGTTTAGGCGTATGAAGAAGCGAAGATTACTTATATACACTTTAGTATCAATGTTCAATTCTAAAATTTGCCACATCGTATTTTCTTAGATTAATTAAACAAACGCCGGTAATTTTTCTGGACCACCTTGTACGTTTTGTCGGCAGCGATTTTCCTCTATTCGTCCCTACACGGTCCAAAATAAGCGGAAATGGGAACTTCGAGAACGTCTTCCTTAGTAGATTGTGGCGGTTGTGTAACGAGTGTGATCGGTGGGTATATTTGGGGGTGGTAAAAGGGGCCGAGAACGTACTCGGAAATGATCGAGGTAGAGATGGGAGCAGCGATAAGGGAGGAATAAGCTAGTAAATAGAAAATCACACGATATTACCAGCATTAGAATGATGAATCGTTTGTGTCCCAAAGAAGTTCTAAGTGTAATAAAATTTTTTTACGTTTTCATGATTGTAGAAATCAAATAAAACAAGAAAATGGCAGTTTAGGTATAATTTTGTCGAAAAGGGCCATTTGTTTGCGACAATAGCTTTCGTCGTAACTATTAATAAATGTATAAAGACCAAAAGTAACGTAAAACGTAAATTTTTTACTTTTACTTTTTGGAGGAAGCTACTTTTCTCGCTTTTGCAGTTTTTGGTTTGGGCGCTTTAGGTTTCTTGGTTGGAAAACCTTTGTTTGACTCTTTTGCCTTTGTTGGAGCCTTAACTTTGGCAGGTAAAGCAATTGATGTGGCAATTTTTGAAGCAGCAGTGCTTTTATCATCTTTTTCGCTTTTAAGTCTTTCTTTTCCAGCTGTCGGCACATATTTTGATTTCGCTGATTTCTTGACTGCTTTTGGGTTTTCTTCGGTTGTTGTTATGCTACGTTTTGCTGTCGTAGTTTTTTTGGTTTTGCCACTGGCGTTCTTTTTTTCGTTAGAACTAGGCTTAGCTGAACCCGAAGATGTTGCAGAAGCTAACTTGAAAGAACCGGAAGCACCTTTACTTTTCATTTGTACTAATGAACCTGAAGCTACTAATGCTTTTGGATACTTCTTAAAGAAAGGAGCAACTTTTTCTTCATCTACTTTATAATTGGCAGCGATGTATTTTTTGATGGCTTGAAGTGAAGACCCTCCACGTTCTTTTAAATCTTTGTCCATGAATGAAGTTTTTCGGTGATTTTTTATATTTTTATCCCATACATTTGGTGTGTCATAATTTATTTGATCTGGTGCAACCGTTAAGTCTTAAAATATGAAATTTAGGGGCTACGGTGGATTGTGACGTAGTTAAAAACCTACGTACATTTAAACCGTAAATGCATAATGCGCAGGAGCTAGCCCTTAGTAACAAGTTAATTTTTAAAACAAAGATACATAATATAATGTTATAACCAATAATTATGAGCTAAAGAATTTTACCGCTAACGTTGCAGACAGTGGCGGTTCGTGACTTATGTAATAGTGAGGGCAGAGAAAGATGGGATGAAACAAGAAACTGCAGAGTTGCCGGGGAGCTCTTAAGTTATCCTAACAACACTGCAGCAAACAAATACTTGACTATGACTAGACAGAATCTGTGCCTAGTCACAGGCATTCTGATTGGTCATTGCCAAGTACGAATCCGCACTCTGCAGAGGGTGCGAACAAGAAGATGAGACCATCGAGCATATCCTTTACGATTGCTCGACTCTCTCATTTATTAGAAGATTTGTGTTCGGCGAGTATCAGCTAGCACCGGCCGATATAAGAGAATCACCTCTTGGCGACGTTGTCAACGACATTAAATCTGTAGGCTGGCTCACGAGCTAGGAGGTGCCTATCTTCTCAGAAGGATGCACAATGGGCCTAATGAGGCCTAAGTGCCGTGGGGTAACCCACCCTCCACAAATTACAGATACAGATAGTGAGGGCTGAGTATAAGGACACCAAAAATAATTTAAACTTAAGCGGCTGAATATGAGGCTTTTTATTATGGTTACTTTTATGATAAATAATTATTACGAAGATAAATAAACAAAACCACACTAGATCAACATAGCAAAGGAAACCATGAATCCAAAATGCCTAATTTATTCCCTTTCCTTCGCGATCTAGACGTTAAGGTTGGTAATCATAGGTTAACCATCCAGCGATTCATTATGGGCTGCTGATACTACGCCGATACAATAATAATAGCGCGCATTTATAATGATAGAGAGAAAACCCGTATTATTCCTATTACTATTGTACAGGTTCAGCTCGTCCGAAGCTAATAATTTGCTCACATACTTTTTTATTGCATTTATTTGTATTTGACTATCTTATTGTTAATAAATTTAGGAGGAGTTAAATAGAATTACTGATTGAGTATATGGAAACTCATTTGCCGATGACTCCTGCTGCTTCGCAGAGTCACCCCAATGCCCTACTTGACCAGCCGCCACTTTTTGTAGATGTAAACGATTACATTTACCCCGTATCACACCACATCTCATAGAGCTAAGTTGAAAAGAAACATCTGGACGGGTCACGATTTGACAAGTCACCTCACCGTCTTTACCAATAGAAGGCGTTAAGACATCATTTAATTTTTATCGTCTTTATGCTCACATTTGAGGAGTCTGGGATGCAGATAATTTTCATAATGATGTAGTTAGAAAATTACACAATAATGTAATAATCACCAGTTAAATAAAACATTTTTGTGAAACTTAAAAATCCATCTATCGATCACATTACTTCTAGAAACATTTTTTTTTTTTCAAAAAATTTTAAATATTCAAATCATCATAGAAGGTGTAGAACACCAAAGGTAAGATTCAAGAAGGACTAACCAACACAAAACCATCAAACCAAATTCATCACCTCTTTTCAGACGTGTTCTAAAAGAAAGATTTTTAAATGTTGCCATATCGATAAAACTTTGCTTTAAAGTGTATGTATTAGAAAATAATTGCCAACCACTCTTCTGTAACCAATATCATTGAAAGTAAAATTAAAAAGTTCTAGGAGTTTAAAGTGCGCCTTTATGGACTCTAAACAGTATCTTACATCAAGAATTTATACTTCATTCCAACCATAAACCATTTTAACAACTATTTCGACACAAAACACTTGATATACAAAACAAAAAAATCATTCGCTCTCGAATTCCGAATTCCGAAAAGCTTTTAAAAATTAAAACTAACACCTCTTTCGTCTGCAAACTTTCACAGTTTATTAAAATAAACTCCTCGGATCTCATTATAGCCCGCCCGGATTTTCCTCACTGTTTGAAATTCGAAATTAACGTCCGCTTTTTTTCCTATTGTCAAAACTGAGTGTTTTCATAATGGAAGTGTCCGCGAACAATGTTATTCCGACTTAATTCTGAATAATTGAGTCGAGAGGTCGTCCGTGAAATGAAGAACGGAGAGCTTCCACCAGGATCGGACTGTACGAGAATGTCATTTAAAGTTATTGTGTTATTATCAAACATATTGCTTATTGTGTAGCTGAACCTTTAGATAATATATTAAATATTTCTGTTCAGGTTGGTGAATATCCTGAAAGATTCCTTTATACAAAAAAGATGAGCCGCTAAGCTTGAATAATTTTAGACAACAGTTTCAATTGACATAAAATAGCTATGCGAAAAGTATATCATAACAAAAATCCAAAAAAAAATCCCTGACATTCGTAATATGAGAACCATAAACACCCTGAGCTCAGACCACGATCCAGTGTACTTAGAGATCTGGACAACACAAAAAATACCTTGACAATATAGGCAATATTACTACCACAAATCGACTAATTGGGCATCTTATAGATCGGAAATTAATAAAATAATTAAAATTAATATTAATATTCAATCAAATGAAATAATCGAAATTGAAACAAACAACTTAACGCAATACAAGAAGCTAGAAACGCTACAACTACACTTAAAACGTAAAAACAACACAATGATTGCCTATAGTAATTACGGACATAATAAATCACAAAAATTCAATTAGAAAGAGACTTTATAAAATCGCAAAGACCATCAACACAATGATAAGAGAATATCGTAATAAAAAATCTGATGTGTCCAACACATGACTTTCCTATCTAGATATTATAGGCTTTTCCGGTTATTTTGTACAACCTATTGCAGCATCTCTATAAATGTTTAGAGGATAAACTAAATATATACATTGTCCACATACATCTACCTTGAAACATTTTTCTATAGATATTCATGGAAAACGAAAATACTGAAAAATTTAAATTTCCTACAATTTTTTCATTACGGTCCATTTTAGAAAAATCATGTATAAACAAAAATTATAGAGATCGATATCGCAAACAACTTTTATTTCAAAAACTTTCATAAAAATCAGAATTTTGCACATTTTGTCAAATTTCTCGAATACGGACCATTTCAGAAAATTTTTACATAAAACAAAAATTATAGATAATAATATTAGAAGTAAGTTTTATTTGAACAATTTTTTTCTCCAAACATTAATAACAGATATATTCTATAAAATATAAAAACGGCCTCCCATAAAGTACCCCCCCAGATGTTTCGACTTTGTCCAAAATCTAATCATTTTACGTCAGGCCGAAATAATCCTTAAGTTTAAAATTTAATGTTTTTTTCTTTATCCGTTTTTGAGTTTTCTTCAAAATTCGAAATTTACACATTTTCTCAAATATCTCGAATACGGTCCATTTTAGAGAAATTATGTATGGAATAAAAATTATAGAGAATTATATTACAAACAACTTTTATTTGAACAATTTTTATAAAAAATTATTTTTTTTACATTTTGTCAAATTTTTCGAATACGGACCATTTTAGGAAAATTTTGCATAAAACAAAAATTATAGATAATTATATTAGAAGTAACTTTTATTTGAAGAATTTTCTTCTCCAAACGTAAATAACAGATATATTCCATAAAATATAAAAATGACCACCTATAAAGTACCCCCCCAGATGTTCCGACTCTGCCCAAAATCTAATCAGCTCATTGGACGTTGAAACAAAGCTTAAGTTTAAAATTTAGTGTTTTTCTATAATAATAATAATAATAATAATAATGTTTATTCAAAAAAAGAAATATAAATTACAATTACATAGTTAATTTAAATATAAACATTGGTAACTTGCTGAGGCATTGTAATGCCTGTGTGCGAGCTAGGATATTTAAAAAATTTTTTTTTTAAACACAAATAAAAATTCGATATAGAATAATAAATAAATAGATAAATTCATGATAAACAAATAATGAAACAAGTAACAAAGCATATAACATAAAACAAGTAATAAAACAAATAATAGAACATAATAAGCAAACAGTAGAACAAATAGTAACAGGGAGATAAAATATAGACATATTCGATATTTAATTCATAATGAAATATAGTTATTAAGTATTATTTTTTTTTTTTATTTTTAAAGTGGAAAATTTATTAATTATAAATTATTTTAGATATCTTAAATCAATTAGGCTATTAAAAATATATCTGTTATTACTTGCTATCCAATTTTTTATAGCATATTTATAACAGGAAAGTTTATTAATATCCTTAATGTAATCTGGTAACATATTGGATAATCTTGGAGCAAAATAATTGGTACAGCGTTGACCAACAGTCTTTGAAGTTATTGGAAGGTAAATGCATTTACCTCTAGTAGGGTAATTATGTTGAGGAGAAGTTACTTGGATTTTTCTTTTAAAAATGTTTAAAAGAATGTTTTGGCAGTATAGCTGTCTCATATCAAAAAATGTACTTTCACTGAATAATGCGTCACTCGGATAAGTTACAGGTTTTTTAAATATAAGCTTGATTAGCCATTTTTGTATATTTTTTAACTGCTTTAAATGGCAGTCTGCCACACCACCCCACCCAATAATACCATAAGTAAGATGCGATTGTACCAGAGACAAATATAAAGTTTTCAGCTGATCTTCATTTAAAAAGTCGCGTAAGTACTTAAATTTATGTAGCAAACCTCTAAGTTTATGAGTAATATTTTTAATTTGTAGATCCCATTTCAAATGCCTATCTAAAGTAATACCTAGGTACTTAATTGACGATGCTTCAGGTATTTGAGTTTTGTCATCTATATGTATTGGACCAAAACTCGGCAAATTGTTTACATAAGAGGTAAATGGTAAATATTTCGTTTTTTCGGTATTTAATGT